CCCTAGTCCAATTTCATCAAACATAAATTTACAAAAACGAAATTAATAAAAAAACCAAACCCTAGATCTAGATCCACATGCACATGAAACATCTATAAAACCAACTAATTGTTCACTAAAATCAAGAAACATGGACCAAATAAGGGTATGATCTTGTTCTCCTCCCTAATTTACCCTAGTACATTTAAAATTTAGGTCTAATTTGCTTCATAAGTAGCTCAAGCACCATAGAAGAGAGAGAAAAATAAAACTCTAATTACTCACTAACCAACCAATAAAACTTCAAAAAAAGTATAGAATAGCATTTTCTTACCTTCTACAACCTCTCCACCAAAGGATTTGAGATCAAAATCTTCTCCCCTTAGTAGAGCAATTTTTGGAAGGTGCCCAAGGCCTCCCCACCTTTCTTTCACGGGTTAGAATGAGTGACCCGAGGAGGAAGAAGGTGCCGCAGCTGTTTTATATGTGGGTCATTTGTAGGGGCGGCTGGTGATTGAGCCGCCCCTACAAATCAGAGCTATATATACGGGGGCATTTGTAGGGGCGGCTCAATCACCAGCCGCCCCTACAAATAGCAACTCAATGGGTGGCTGGTGATTGAGCCGCCCCTACAAATCAGACCACATTTGCAGGGACGGCTGGTGCTGTTCCATTTGTAGGGACGATTGGTGTCTGGGCACCCGAGCACGTCATTGTAGGGGCGGCTCCATCAGCAGCCGCCCTTACAAAAAAATCGAACCGTTGCTAAAAATTGTTTTTTACGTAGTGAAACGGAAAAGGAGGTTTCAAGCATCGGTAAAACAGCACACCGTGGGTAGTCTTATCGTGATACGAGCATAAGACCGTGACGACAACCATGCTCGGACATACGCCATAAGACGGCGTAGCTTGCAAGTCAAGTTAGATAGGCCCCTCCCTCAGGCTCACGACCCCTCGATCGGAAGAACCTACTTCTTTATACACGCTTTGGCCCCTAACTCTATATAAAGGCAGCCAGGGCACCCACTCCGGGAACATTCTCACATTCTCTCATTCTTCACATCTTCGGACTCCTGAAGCTTCCCTTCAGCCAGTTCATCTTCTAGCTCTAGCTCTCATATCTCTTACACCATTTTTGCACCTCCATTATAAGAACTTTAAAGCATTCAAGTGAGAAACACGCGTCGATCATCTCTGAGACTGGACGTAGGGCTTCGACCTGAACAATATAAATCATCATGTCTTTTGGAGGCTACCATCGTCTTCCTAAAGTAGCGCGGTAATCGTATAAATTTACTAGTCTGATTTATAAAACACCGACAATACTATATAACAACTTCAGTATATTTTTAGTAATAACTTTAGTATTATGTGGTAGCAATTTGATAAATCTCTAGCGCATATTTATACATAAATTGATACTAAAATAAATTTTTTTGAAACATATATAAGTGAAGTCTAGTTTTATTTGTCTCGTCACGTATAGTATATAGGTGCAAACGAAATTAAAAACGGACATACCATTCAAAAGTTATAGTAATTCAAAGCAAATATATTTTGTTTCTTTTGGTTTACGTGCAGGATAGTGTGCCGGTGGGTCTGGGTCGCATTCTGAGCTTCACTCGGCGCGCGGGGCTGGGTCGCTCGGCTGCATGCAGTGGGGCTCAGTCGCTGCGCATACCTGGGGTCGCGTGCTTTGCTAGAGCGCGACGGGTCGCGCTGTATCCCTGTCCTACTTCATTAGTCACTGCTCATCAGACAGCACGACGGGCCAAAATAAGTCTAAAATATTATATTATCTTGCTTTCTATACGTTACTTTTACTTACTACTTCATTAGTTACTTGCTTTCTATAAGTCAAAATAAGTTTAAAATAAGTTTCTTCAAGAATGACTTAAATTTGACTATATATGCATAAATTTTTTGAATAAGATGAGTGGTCAAACTTGGAGCCAAAAAAGTCAAACGTCTTACAAATTAGAATGGAGGTAGTATAATTGTTTCTCTACTTTTATGCTTTATCACGTTATTATCAAGAAAGTATGCTCCTGACCTGAGATACCTTGCTGGCAATGAAAAAAAAGGAAACAAGAGAAATCAAATCAATGATTAGATGGATAATTTGAAACGTATAAAATTGTTACATATGAATATTGCTTTTGGATGGAGGTTTGTTTCATATGAATATTGCATTTGAATGAAGGTTTAGTGTGGAACTTTTCGTATATACATATCGTTGTCATGTTTATACCAAGGAGTACTGGGTTTTAGTTTGACTCCAGAAAACTAAGAACCGAGCTGTCCATAAAGCGGTTAACATCCCAGAAATATAGCTGCATACATATCTGTCCATGCAACAACAGGAGTCCAGACGGACAATATATCATTCATACAGTTTTTCGGGCGCGCCCATTCGCGCGGTCCACTGGCCACACGTATTTTTTGGAGAAAAAAAGATATAATCAAAGTTGGGCTGTATTTTGATTTGAGAAAAATCTGAGGATGTTTTCGCAAAAAACGGTGAAAGTGTCTAGGGAGCGCGAGTTGATTTTCGATAAAGTGGAGGTCTTTTTTGCAAACAAACCAGTGTCCATCCGGTCTGGACTGAGCGTTGATTTGGAAATAATACGATGTGTTTTTTAAAAACCGTCCGAGAGCGGGTTGATTTCTAAAAACTTAAAAGGGCAGAAACCAGGCCCGAACCCCAGCATCGTAACGGTTCGTCGGGGCACTGTGGTACACCAAATCATATCTTTAGATATCTGTATGTCCGTACCACAACAGCAGAATCCAGGCCCAACCCCAGCATCGTAACGGTTCGGTAATATTAGTCAACCACTGTCTACTCAGTCATCATCAGGAGTTCATTAAAGGGTTGGTACCATTATAATTTTTAAAGTTTTGAGAACTACCATTATTATTCACCTATTTGAGACGAGCCATTATAATTTTTCAGCACTCTGAAATATACCATTATATACGTTTGGGGAGACCTTGGACCCAGTTGCAGGTGTACATGACGTCATCATATTTTTGAATGGACAAGACTACCCCTCCACCTTCATCTCTATATGCCACTAACGTGTGGACCCCACTGATCATCACCTTCCTCCTTCCCTATCTTCTTCCCCTAACTCCCAGGCTAGCTCTGGCCAGTGAGGGCGGCGTGGCCTGCTTATCCACGCCACGTTAGCGCGGAGCAGCCGTTTTTCTTCCCGCTCTCCATCGCGCGATTCACCCTTGTGCGCTTCACTAGGATCCCCGCCGCCTATTTAAGGAAGGTCTCAAGTGCGCTGCGCCCCTCTTGGAACCCTAGGGCAGCCGCAACCGCCACCGCTAGCCCTAGAGCGCCACCGCCATAGCTACACCCCTGAGCTCGGCGCCGCCGCCGTCGATCTACGCCACGGCCGCGCCTCAGTTGACTATAGAAGGTTCACGAAGCCATAGAACGACCGACGAACCCTTGATGTCGATCTCTCCCTCCCTCTCTCTCTCTCTGCTATGCGCACGTGCTCGCCGAAGTATCGCCGCCGTGTCCGATCCGCCGCGCCGCGTCTACTACCGGCTCTAGCCATTCCCCACTGCGGGGAGGTACCCCGCCGAGTTCGCAACCCCGCGAGCTCCGCTCTCATGCCGACCCGCAGGTTCTAGTGCCCCACAGTGCCACCCCGGTGTGCTCGCCGCCGCCGTGCTACCCCGTGAGCGAGAGATGCCGGAGAAGAGGAGCGAGGCCTCGAGGTCCCCGGCGGCGAGCGGCAGCGCCCCACGGACGGGCAGGTGGCGGAGCCCGGCCTCGGCGCGCGGTTCCGGCGCGCCCGCGAGGCAGGCGGCCGCGGCGTGTCGTCTTCGTCAGAGTCAAGCTCGTCCGCCTCCAGGATGGAATCGACGGCGGCAGGTGGAGGAGGCAAGAGGTCGGACGTGAGCGAGTGGTGGTTGTCAAAGCCGGAGAAGGATGCAGATCATGTCGGCGGCGGCGTTTATGGAGCTAGTGAGCAAGTTGACGATGTGCTACGTCGCCGCGATCCCCTTCTCCTATCCGTTCTACGGCGGCGGCGCCGCCATCCTTGGCTGTTGCGAGCTACGGGGACGAGGCTGGCAACGAGCAGTGCGGCTAACGCAGGCTCCAGCGTGGGCGCTTGGTCGGTATGCTGCAGAGGGAAGAAGATGGGGAAGGAGGAAGAAGATGACAGACAGGACCCACACAGCAATCATATGGAGGAAGAGGAGGACAGAGGGGTACTCTTGTCAATACGGAAATACGTTGGTCTGCATATAGGCCCAACAGCATTCAAAGCGTATATAATGGTATATTTCAGAGCACTGAAGAATTGTAATGGCTCATCTCAAAATAGATGAATAGTAATGGTAGTTCTCAAAACTTTGAAAATTGTAATGGTACCCATCAAAATAACCCATTAAACTTAATTAAAAGCGACGACCTAATGCTAACACACACTACCAATATCGAGTTCATGTTCCAAGCTCAGGAGAACCGAGAGCGCAGGCAGGACCCAGCCAACCAATTGGCTCAACGTTTCCTCTTGTGAGTCTTCAACTGCCTCATGACGTACTGGATGCCTTCAGTGTTGCTTTTCGCCCAGCCTTCTTGTTCCACAGCTCTGGTACAGGATAGCGGCCACTGGGACTGTACTCATTGATCTCAAGCAGTGCCATTGCTAACAACCCATAAACTTCTTCGCCATGGTCTTCTTTCAGCTTCCGGAGCATCTCATCATCCTCTTTAGGCCATGTTCGGTTCCCAGGGAATCACCCCCTGGAACCAATCCTGCCGGGAATGCTTCAGTAAATTATATAGCTAACTCTCACCAGGATTGATTCATGCCAGGAATAGCCCTAAACGAAGGAGCCCTTAAGAAATTCCTGAGACAGAGAATATCCATCACATGTTACCAGTGCAAAACTGCAAGCCCACTATTATGAAACTGATGACCAAAATTATAGACAGACAGAATTAGGGAAGCTGGATAGCAATTGCAAGTGATCAAGGACGACGGCCATACCATTTCTTTTCCATCCACCACTTTAACCTTAAAAGGGTACCAGTTTGAGTTTCTAATTTCAGCATCCAACTTCGAACAAAGGAGAGCAGAAGTGGCTTCTGCATCTTCTTTTGATAACCTATTCCTGCAAGCAATTCCGAATGCTTTGGGATCAAGCTCACCCATTCTCTTTATACATATATTAGCTCGGCCAGAACCAGCAAGCTCCTGAAAGCCTTGAAAAGCATGCAACAAACCCGAAAGAAAAATTGTGCATGAGATATGATGCCAAAGCAAATGAAACCTAAGGTGCCATCATTGATTTCACAACAGAGCATAATATTGGATAGTTGGTCAATCAATGTGGTAGCTTACATCTATCAGCTCCTTCCGAGCGTGCTGCAACTCATCATTGCTCTTCCTTTCCTTGATAACTAAAGCTTTGTTCAGAGCCTCCATTTCTTCCGATTCAGCGACCTTTTCTTTCAGCTCTTCAGTGAGTTCATCCATCTTCTTCTTTGACTCAGAATCCTGCTCACCTGGCATATGCTTCATAACTTCCAGTTTTCCTTTCATTGTTTGTATTTCTAACTCAAGCTTCTGTTTGGCGTCCAAGTGCTGTTGTAACTTGAGAATCTTTTCTAGAGCAGCTTGTTTCTCCCTCTGCATTTCCACACAGTAACAACACTCATAGATATTAGCTTCTCAAGAAATAACATGAAACAATACACATTTGACCTTGAACCAAACCTTGTGTTCTTCCACAAGCTTAAGCACGTTCTCATCAGTCTTCTGTTACTCCATTGTTGTCATCTTAATATGATTAGTTTCAATTTCGTTCTGCGCTCAACCACAAAAAGGTCTGGGATAAGTTGTACGAATAGCACACTACAGGGAAATTACAATAGCACCCAATATCTCATCACTAGCATCATTGAATGCCATCCAACAAAATAAAATGGTGTTATCAATCTACTGCTCAAAATTAATGATGGCAAGGTCATACAGTGCCCAAGGTTAAGGTAAAACGAAAAGCTAGGCACTACATAAGAAATGCTGTTATGCCATATGCAATTGTAATCTATCTATAAATTAAATGCTAGGCACAACAGAAGAATTGCTGTTATGCACTCCCTACAAAATTCAAAAAATTTAACAGGAGAAAGCTACAGTAATAAGCTGTACACACCTTTTCCTTCTCTTGCTAAAGATTCCTTATGTCTGAATCACTTTGCGAAGCTATTGGATCAAGATGCTTAGATCTTAAGTCAAGTTCGTGCATCTTGGACTCCAACTCTTTGCGGAGTTTTTTATTCTCATCAAAGACCTCCTGTGAATGACTTCGAGAATCTTGGTGCATCTTGCGAATTTCTGGTTAAGGTAAAACCAAAAGTTTAAAAGACCATTAAACAACTGGAAGTGCCATTTACACTAAGATGACAGAAATGCAGCTATGCTGACTAAACCCTAACAGAACACATAAATAATAAAAGATGAACAGAAACCTTCATTATGCTTCTGGAGGATCTTCTTCCTTCGCTCCATCATCATGCCAAGCGATGCGGTCATCTGATTGTACATGGATTTCAGTTCTTCCACATGCCTGTTCTTTACTTAAATCTGGCTAGCTAAATTAGCAACAAGTTTATCAGTTTTATGAGCCCCTTCACTTTCAAGATCACCAACAGTTTTCAGATCACCATTTTTTCGCAAATGGGCTCCTATAGGCCCTTGGCATCTATGATCATCAGCTCTCGCAACCCATCCAAACATCTCTAGCCTGTTGGCCCACGGGATCACCGGCTGACGATAGTGAGCTAGTCTCCAGACCACTAGTCTCAGACCACTAGTCTCCCAGGCCACTAGTCTCCCAGACCAGACCACTAGTCTCCCAGACCACTAGTCTCCCGACCACTAGTCTCTCAGACCCGACCACACTAGTCTCCCAGACCAGACCACTAGTCTCCCAGACGACTATACCGGTTGTGTCCGTACCCACACACTACGGATCGAGCTAGAAGAAGAAGGAAGAACAGAGCTAGTACGCACAATACAAGACAACAACGTTGGCCGAGGCCCTGTTTGTGTGATGGCAAATCTGAGCTCTCTTTACTGAGTTGCCTTGGTGCCCTATTTATACAACTCTATCTATCTAACTAAAGTACAAACGCACATGTCAGAATGTGATAACTAGATAAGCATATGGGGCTGACCTGCACCGCCATCGTGATGTGCCTACTGAAGGTCAGCAGGTGAGCCATGCGGCGCTGCACTGCAGCTGCCATCAGACACAAGCATAGGGGCAAAGTCGGGCGCATTTCCTTCCTTTGTGTGTTTCACACAAGGTGAGATAGATTAGCTAACAATCTTTCCCTAATCCTCATCGCTAACCCTTGCACCCCTCCATGCCGATCATCTCCTTCACTCCATGAGTCGAAGTCGTGAAAGCGGCTTGGTGAGGACGTCCGCGAAGTTGCCGACTAGTTTCGACAAACTCGATGACGATCCGCCTCCATCAACACAGATCCCCGAGGAAGTGGAATTTCACGTCAATGTGTTTACTCGGCGCGTGCGTAACCGGATTCTTCGCGAGGGCGATGGCGGTGGATGTCCACCATCGTCTTTGGTGGGTGAGCTTACTACCGGTTAGCTTCGCCAGGCAGAAACGGCCGTAGCCATTACAACAACTTGGCACATTGTTGTGGCGCCGCCACGCATTTCGCCTCGCACGTAGATAGCGCCACCACCTTCGCTTCAAATGACGACCATGAAATTGGGGCCGACCGAGGAAGACGAGCACGCCAGAGGTGCTCACGTCGTCCGTCGATGTCCCTCGCCATGTCTCGCATTGTGAATACCGTGAGTCGCAACCTACTTCCCACGGTCTTTGGGAAGATGATTCCATGATTTACCGTCCCTTAACGTGGCGTAGTAGCCGCTTCACCGCAGCCCCTGATGATTCTCTCGGATCCTCCATGAAGCGATTGACGAGCCCACGGTGAACGCAATGTCCGCCATGTGTGGACTAGGTAGCGAGACCGCCGACGATGCTCCGGTGAGAGTGTTGCATCTATTTTTGCCGCGGTGTCGCCCTTCGCCGCCTTCACCGCTCCTCCATCGGAGTCACGCATGGCTTACACTCCACCATGCCGCTCCTCTCCAACGACTTGGAGACATACGCGCTTGCCCGAAGCGTGAGTTCCTCCTTCCCCTGCCTCACCTCGATGCCGAGGTAGTAGGAGAGAGCGCCGAGATCGCTCATTGTAAACGAGCTGCCATCTCTCGCTTGAAGTTGTTGATATCCTCCGTCTTGCCGGCGATGGCGATTAAGTCATCCACATACACGCCGACCACGAAGTTCTTCCTTCCCCGTCGTCGGCGTGTAGAGCGCGTGCGTCTTTCGGTTGTGCACCTCTCGAAACCCAAGCTCGCCCAAAGATGGTGTCAAGCTTGGCGTTCCATGCTCGAGGGGCTTGCCTCGGCCCATAGAGCGCTTTTATGCGATCGGAGCACCTCGCCTCTCCCTTGACAACGAACCACGGAGGTTGCCCGACAAAGACCGTTTCCGCCACCGCCATTGAGGAAGGTCGATTTAACGTCCAAGTGATGGACCGCCCAAGATTTTGCTACCGCCAAAGCAAGTAGCAAACGGACCGACTCCACGCGCGCGCCATGGTGCAAAGACCTCTTGAAGTCGATGCCCTCGCTGTTGGACAAAGTCTCGGCATTGACGAGGCGCGCTTTGTACTTGACAATGGTGCCAAGCTCGCCCCTTTTGACTTTGTACACCCACTTCAGCCGATCGGACGGCATCACGGGGTGGATCGATGAGTCGTCAAGTCTCGTTTTCCTCGATCCCTTCATCTCCTCCAAAGATTGTTCCGTCGCCCGATTTCCATTGCACTCGGCTAGCGCGAACGTGGGTGGTTCTCTTCAGATCGACGAGTAGCGGCTCTGCGTCGTTGAGCAAACCTACTCACTGACTGAGGGACTGTGCGCGCCGACGATGTCGCCCGACTTATAGAACCTCAACTCCTCACCTTCGTGGTAGGCATCCACGAACTCGGTGATGTCACTTGGAGGTGAGGCGAACTCGATCGGGGTGATGGAGTTCCTTCTTCCGCCGGAGTGCCTCGTGATTTTGAAGTGCTTTAAGATCGCTTCTCGATCGCTCGTCATAACTCCTGCAGTGTTTGGCCACACCGTAGGAGTGCCCCACCTCGATCTTGGAGTGGTCGGAACCACAAGAGATGTCTTGGCTCCGCCATGGGAGTGCTCGACACCCGTCTCAAGTGGTCGCCACCACTGCAGAACCTCCCGGCTCCACTCTCGGTGTGCTCGGCATTCCTCCAAAAGTGCAGATCGCCTGCAGAAGTGCTTTCGACTCATCACGGAGTGCTCGGCGCTTCTCCCGAGTGCGTGGCACTTTGCTCAGCGTCTCCACCGCCGTGGATGACCAAGTGCTCGACGACGAAGGTGTTGGTGAAGCCTCCCGCTTTCCCGTGCTCGGACTGCGTGCGGTCCCAAGTTGCCTCCTCGTTGAACACAACGTCGCATGAGATAGTCACCTTGTCTCCGCGTGGGTCATAGAGCCAGTATGCCTTGGTACCCTCGCAGTAGCCTAGGAACACCATGGGTGTGCTTCATCCTCCGGCAGTGAGGTTCGCTTCCGTTTTCACGGCGTGGGCGATGCAACCGAATGTCGAGAGGAATGACACGCTCGCTTGCTCTGCACTCAAGCTTCGAACGACGCCTTGCCCATTAGGGCTTTGGTTGGAGTGCGGTTGAGGATGAACACCGCCGTGGTCACCGCCTCTCCCGTAACTTTGCTTGCGCATCCCTTTGGCCTTCATCATGGATCGGGCCATGCCGACCATTGTTTGGTCCCGTCGCCCACCACGCTATTCTCGTTGTGGTGAGTATGCGGTAGCGGTGTGATGTTGCCTCACACCTTGATCCGCGCAAAGACGTAGCAAACTCCACCAAGTGAATTCGCCACCCCGATCGGTCCTCAAGACACGGAGCTTTCTTGCGCTCTCGGCCTCCAAGGCGTGCGTCTTGAACTTCTTGATCGTCATCGCCATTCGTCCTTGTTTCGTTAGGAGTTTGCGTACCACATGTAGCGCATCGCAATCGTCCCACGAGCGGGAGGAAGTACCACCGACCACCGCATGTAGCAGCGTGATCGCCCGCAGAGGTCGCCATGAACTAGCTCGAGAGCTTCCTTCGCGACGATACTTGGCGCCTTTGGGAAAGGTAGCCTTCTCGCTTCTTCGGCCAGCGGTGTCACACGGCTTGCCTCCGTGTTTGATGTGGGTAGCCCTCGGACCATCTTCCCAAACCACAAGCGCTGTCAAGCCGAGATGTCCGAACGGGCATGCCATATCCACGGTTCCTCGGAGTGCCTTGCCGCCAGGCAAACCGGCTGCTCTACCTCCTGTGAATGCCTTCGAGATATTTGCTGCATCTTGCGAATTTCTGGTTAAGGTAAAACGAAAAGTTTAAAAGACCATTAAACAACTGAAAGTGCCATTTACACTAAGATGACAGAAATGCAGCTATGCTGACTGCTGAGTAGTAAACTCTAACAGAACACATAAAAAATAAAAGATGAACAGAAACCTTCATTATACTTCTGGAGGATCTGCTCCCTTTGCTCCATCATCATGTCAAGTCGACGCGGTCGTCTCATTGCACTTGGATTTCAGTTTTTCCACATGACTTCTTTACTTCAATCTCGCTAGCTAAAGTAGCAACAAGTTGATCAGTTTTATGAGCCTCTTCACTTTCAAGATCACCAACAGTTTTCAGATCACCATTTTCTCGCAAAAAGGCTCCTATAGGCCCTTGGCATCTATAATCATCAGCTCTTGCAACCCATCCAAACATCTCTGGCCCTCTGTCATTCTTCAGCTTCCAATCCCTTTTGCCATATCCCTCTGCCTCAAAATGATTTTCAAAGGCGAGCGCATTATTGAAGCCAATCCAGTCTTTGGTAAACTCAACAATAGCATTTCCTGTATGACCTCTATAATTCCATAGAGGAATAACCTTCTGTGGGCAGAAGCGTGAAAGTTGCTCTTTAAGCCGATTTCCACTCCCTCCAACTTGACGCCCATTCTTCCACTCAGTAGGCACATTAACTAGAACACCCATCCAAGGCCAGACAAATTGATCTTCTAAACTAGAGCCCATTTTCAGAGGAAGGGAAAAGTGCAATGACCTAGAGGACAAATAAAAAAGAAAGTAATTTCAGCATTTTGATTAAATGGGTCAACATTGCAACATGAACTCAGAATGGAAGAAAAGTTTAACAGGGGAATTCATATTCAGGTTTCAGATTAATAAGTTAGAACGAAAGCCATGATTAGGTTCTAGGCATCAAACTATCCACCTCATACTTCTAGATTCTACTAGAAACTCTACTACATTTAGCGAAATAGGCAGCAACGATACATTTGTAACCTATAACATGTAATGGCACACACATATCATGTTACTTATAATTTTTTTTTCGTGGTGTAAAAAACAAGAAAAAATTCCAAGTAGCTTGAAAATGTGGGTTAAAAACCGATATATTCTTAAAAATTCATATTGAGGAAACATAGATGATGCATCCAACATATGAAGTCAAACACCCCACAGAAAGGAATTGGTGTGAAGTAGCTAAACTCGTGCGCAACTATAAGTGTAAATATGATAATCCAGTAACAGCTCCAAATCTGAAAAGTAAGCAAATCCCAGAAAGTACTGTGATGCAGACACTAGGCTCATAAGAATAAACGATCCCATCAGATCAGAGACATCAGAATTCAGACCACGAGCATAACCAAAACAAAGGTCCGGCTGCACAATACATGAACTAGCACATGCTTTTCAAAGTGAACCGGGATGCAAAGTGCTATCAACCCATCATGGCCGACTTGGCACAGCTACTGGATTCAACCGCACAGAAACACACACACATGCATCAATCATTGTGAAACAGGACCTTGCACAAGATTAAGTAACCAGTCAACTAGATCTACACTAGGACTTGAGAAAGCAATCCACAGAAATAAAAAGGTCAGCATTTCAGCCTGCTCTACACCGCGCATGCTTTGGGCTGTAATCTGACGTACATGGCCACTTCCCACGCGTCGCCACCCAATCGAAACCCCACAAGTGGCGGAGCCAGGAAATAAAAATATAGGTGGGGAGGGTTCTAACTCCAAAAATAAAGCAAATGCCTTGTGGCCTAAATCGCAGTGTATTCACATACTACAATCACACAAATTATCAGATTTGTGACCTGCGCCTAGATGCTATCTTCTGTTTTTCTTTGTCTAAATCCTCTGTTAGATAACTTTGTGTCGCTGGGTGTGTTTTGAGTCTGGAACTCTAGACCTTTGGGTGATCGTTTTGTTGGTGTCTGTTCCGGGTGTGGTTGGGGAGCTCATAGGTGTGTTTGGTTGGGTGCCCAACCCCTAGAGCTATTTTGGTCTGTTTGGTTGCCTGGAAGTGGGCTGAGGCCTGGCTAGGGCTGGCCATCCGTACCCCTTTAGCCTGGCCAGGATTGAACGACAATCGTTCGTTCAACTGGAGCCAGGCCCGAGCCAGTCCCCGTGCTCGTTCCCCTCACCTCCCGGGCAGAGGTCTCGTGCGGCGGCGGAGGTGTCGCGCGTCCATCTCCAGGAGCGGCGCCGCTGCCAAGCCAGAGCAGCAGCCAAGCCAAATCCGAAGCCGCCGCCGCTGCCGTTGTAGGTGCGGCTCCAACTGGACTGGCTGATGGTGCCATCGACGCCGTGGAGCGTCCGTCAACTACCGCCTAGCCCCCGAGCACCGGTGGCCCGCGGCCTACGACGACGGCATCGACGCGCTGCGGTTCCTCAACGCCCGCAGCGTGGCCAAGGACGGCCTGGGACTGGGTGAGGCGCGCGGGGAGCCAAGCCGTCATGCTCGTGTCGTCCGCCCCCTTCGAGCAGAGGTGTGATTCGAGCGGAGGACGACGACGATGCCAGCGAGCTCCTTCCAGATCTCCAGCACCTGGTGCGATTCGAGCTGAGGACGACGACGACGCCAGCGATTCGAGCGGAGGTGCCCGCCCTGCTCTATCGTGCTCGCTCTGTGCTGCCGCCGTGCCCGCCTTGGTCTTGCTGTGCTTGCCTTGCTCGCGCTGCTGCTCGTTGTGGTCGCCGTGGTCGCTGTGCTCACGATGCTCGCCTTGCTGCTGCCTTATGACGTGCTCGTCGAGGATGCTCACCACTTGTTCAACAAAATGCCCCCTTACCAATTTAGAGAAGAGGTGATTATCAAAACAAACCAGGCAACCAAACCCACCCGAGGCTAGTCAGATTTAGACAGCACTGACAACCAAATAACTAGAGATTCGCTTAGTAGGAGCAGGCCATAGCTGCCTAGTCGAGGATTCTAGCCCGGCAAACACACCCTATCTCATTTTGTTACCTTTACTGTAAAGCTGGTATCCCCAGCATGAACATCTTTTAAGCTTTCAATAGTAGCTGGGCTAAAAGCCTTTGGTCTAAAACAATCACACAAATTATGGCAATTTGAGATGGAGAAAGCAAGGACAATGGAGAATAGAGAAATGATTAAATTGATAATTTGATGTGCTCAATTGCTCATGAACAATACCATTCGTTTCGTTGTTCTTGCCAATGCGGCAATGCCAATCCTGGACACAGCTCTGGCTCTGCCTCGGCCGAATCCAGCTGCAGGCGGAGTTGCTGCCCCTGCTCTGTCGCTGACATATCCGCGGCCGTGGCCGACCCTAGCACTGTGCTGGGGTTGCCGTACCTCGCGCTGCTCTTCCTCTCCTCCTCCTCCTCCCTCCATCGCCGCTTGCCCACAGGCCGCAACCCGCTCGGGCGGCTCGGCTCGGTGCTCTGCTCCGGCTGACCGCTGGCGGCGTGCTCGCTCCACGCGGCCGCGGGGTGGCTAGAGGCTGGCGCTAGCGGCGGCGGCGGCGGGGGGCGGCAAACGCTGGCGGTGGCTGGCGGCGGCCGCGGCCCTGATGCTCAATGCGGATGAAGTCGGGGGTCTGCATGTTGGGGTTGGGGATTGCCAATTGGGAACAAAACCACCGTTGGGCCTTTAGTGGGTTGCTGCTGGTCTGAAGAAAGCGAGAAAAATAGGCCCAATATCGGTCTCATCTCCTTCTGTCTTCGATTTTCCATCGCCGGCTCGCTCCACCATGTCGCGGCCAAAGAAGCTCTCGCAGCAGGCCGGAGCTGAGGAAGAAGGGGTCTGTGGTGATCACACTGGTAGCTGGGGTAGCTCCGCCCCCTGACCCCCACAAGATGACTAAACGCTTATCCGATCGGACGAAGCCGAAATTCGCAAGCGAAAACCCTTCCGCACGCCGCCGATCATCGCATACAGCAATGAGAAAACCCGCATTCCCCGGAGATCTGCTCCCACGGTGCCCGCATGGGCCACCTGGAGTTGGGCACGTACGGGGGTTTTCATCCCAACCAACCGCGCAGCGAAATTAAGCACAGAAACCACTTCACGGACGACGCGGTGAGAGAAGGAAGAGGAGGAAGTGGGCGGGGGTCACTCACCTCCGGCGAGCGGCGGCAGCCGTCGGTAGAGGCGAGGCCAACGAAGAAAGGTTTGTGCTGCCCCCTCACTTTGCTCTCTGCTCCAGTCGAGACTTCGTAAGTCCAAGCGTTCAATATTGGGTGAGAGAACGATGAAGTGGTGAAGTTTTTTTTTCCTGGACTTCTAATATAAGTTGTAATACATAAACACATCCCTAAAAGGTGCAACCTATGCACCTCAAACATCATTGAGATCACCGAAGCCGCGTGAGCCTCGTAGATTATGGGAGCACGTCATAATCTCATCGTAGCACCACGCCAGCGTCTAGTACCTGGACGAAACAAATGCGACACCCGTTCATCCCATCCAGGAATCGAACCTGGGTGGACTCGCTCCACAAGCGGAGACGAAGCCACCGCGCTACGAGCGCGCGTTTGCAAGAAGTGGTGAAGTTAATTGGCTCTGAGAGGTGAAGTTGAGTGGCGTCAGAGGATCTCCACCGTAAGTATAGAAGATTGGATAAACAAATTAAATGAGATAAGGGACCCGCATGTCATTGGCTTATTACTTTTTTAATCTCCCTCCCCTTTTCCTTTCGGAAATACTTCGACACAGGGCGTCCGTCCGCCCGGGTATGTTCGGATCGCGGCTTTCCACTCTACCTCGTTCGCTTCTCTCCAGGAAAAAAATCTCTCCAACTTCGTCTTGCCCTCCCTATCTCTCGGTTTCTCTCGCATCCGCTATCAGCAGTAGAGCCCTGTGCAATCACCGCTGCCTCCTTCCTCCACCCAAGCCGACCACGCCATCTCCTCCCTTAGTTCGCGCAGCGCTTCCCCGACCTCTTCCCCAATGCAGTGCCTTCGAGATGCCTCGCCGCCATGGGCCGCCGCCGCCGCCCTTGCCGATGGCAGCTCGGCGCACATGCCAAGGCGCCTCAGGTCATCCCCAGCTGAGCCAAGGGGCACCCACGAGCGTGCTCGGTGCTGGTGGCGCTCGTGTTCGACCGCTCACTACCGGCTTCCATCCTGATAGCCAAAAATTGGCCGGCCTGGTCTCTTCTCCTATGTTGCAAACATATGTTTCAATTATTTCAGATGTTTCAAAGGTATGTTGCAAGTGTTTCATATGGATGTTGCAAAAGTAGATCAGGATGTTGCATATGTTGCAATGGATATACACATATGTTGCAAAGTGTCTGTTTCAAATGTTTCATTTATTTTTTCAGACGTACGTTGCAAGTGTTTTTTTTAATACAACATATGTTCACACATATGTTGCAAGTGTTTTTATCTAGATGTTGCATATATTTTGCAATGGCTTTTCAAGTGTTTTTTGCAAGTGTTTTAGACGCATGTTTCAATTGTTTCATATATCTTCAGACGCATGTTGCAAATGTTTCATCTAAATGTTTTCAAAGTAGATCGAGTGTTGTATATATTGGAATGTGACTCGCTTGCCATAGCCACCTGTTGCAACGGCTAGGGCGCCGTGCATGTATGTGGGAAGCGGAGGGATGGAGCACTACGCAGCGCGGGGCGCGAGAAGCGGAGGGGGAAGTGAGGGCCTGTAGTAGCCGCGGGCAGTTCCCGCCTAGCGCGGACCTGCAGCAGCCGCGGGTGTCCGGACGTGGACATCCGTCCGGACATCTTGGTGCTAGTAATTCCCTTTTCTTTTCTCTCTTGTCTAGCATTGTACAGTCTTGCGGCCATGACTCATCACTTGCTTGCCACTGTTGATTTTTTTTAATTTTAATACTTTTTGTAAACTAATTTTAAATCTAACACTTTTTGTTTGTTTTTTTTTCAAAACTAACACTTTTGACCACGCCTATTGCCATGGCGTGGCGAAAAGCCTATGATGCGCCATGCATGGTGGCGCGGCGGATGGATGACGTGGCGACGACCGGAAATGTTGACCGCTGACGTGGCAGGGCTTGTAGCGCCACCGATCTTGGCACGGCAGTGACGCGCTCTAATCGGTGGCGTGGCAGAGCCAAATAAAAGCGTTGTGGCCGATCCGCTTGCCCATGCACGCCCGCCTACCCGCACATGCCAGCACCTGGCCGCCGCGCCTGCCGCCGGTAGGGCCTTCCTGCCGCCGAGCACGCCGGCTGCGCCATGAACGTCGGCATGCCACAGCTGCCGGACGCCCGCTACGCCCTCCGCGCCCGTCGAGGCCAGTGCCCGCGCCTCCCGGCCTGGTCTTGCGCGCCACCGCCGCGAGGACAAGCGCCGCTACTGCGAGGTACTCTCCTAGTGTATTTGTTGATTGAATCGACATTGTTAGTATAGTAAGTTAGTAAAATAAATAAAGTTAGTATAATTAGTAAAGTATAGTTAGTAAAGTTAGTTAGTTTAGTTAGTATAGGTAATATAGTAAGTTAGTATAGATAGTAAAGTTAGGTAGTTTAGTTAGTACAGCTAGTGAGTCTAGTTATACATTGTATTTAGTCTAATTAGTTGTTGTAGTTAGCCTTGTATAGATGTTAATGTTAGATTAGTTAGTATAGTTATAGTTAGAATATGTATTAATATTACTATGAACATTACGTACGACGATTTAGATGACTTGATGAAGTTTCTTGAAATGCTTTTGCAAATGAATTGTTGTGTTATTTTTTATGGAGGAAGTGTTAGGAGAGAAGATGGTATGTTTGATGATATGGAAGAAGAATTGGAAATAGTTTGATGAATCTCCTAGCTTCAACGACATTTGTGTCCGTTTGAATGCAAAGTTTGACGATGATTTCACACTAAAGGAGAGGTTTGATACTGGGAAGACTAGGGCACAGTATGTCCTCATGCCCTTGTGCGACCCTGCTCACTGGTCCCGCTACACTAGGGTGCTCCAAGGTTCTAATGTGCCCCAAGCTGAGGTGGTAGTAGAGAATGGGTACAGGATGCAGGGTGTCCAGGACGGCCCGTCCATTAACGGTGTTGGAGGCAATGAACAAGAATTAGGGGTCGAAGGGAAAGCAACTCAGGGTAACATGGATTTGGACGGTTAGTTGACGCAGGAGCAGTTTCATTCAACTGCAGTAGGTTGTATAAGCAATGACTTCGATGTGAATGAGTTCGAATGGGAAGAGGAGGAGGAGGATGACAGGATCGGTGTTGTAGTTAGCAGTGATTCAGATAATTCTGATGATGACCAAGGAGGTATAGATGCTATGCCAACATCGGTTGATGCCATGCTAGTACCGGTTCATACTATGCCATTACTAGTACCAACTGAGGTTTTGAATGGTATCTAGGCTCAGGGTAGACTAGTCACAAATTTGGCAGCAGATGATACCCCCTATGATTCATGGGCCAGAATTAGCGAAAGCGCAGCAATATGTTCCACCACCACCTTACACAGCGACTGAGCTTGAGCAACTAAGGTCGATGAACATACCTTTTAGGGGCATTCGAACTATAGGGATGTCAGCATGACGGATATGGCAGTTTGTGACACCGGTCTTTAGATGTGTAGGAAATCATTATATGACCATGAGAAAGAAACCCTTAGGAAGGGGATGATATTCAATACAATGTCAGAGATGAAGCTCTTCCTTCAGGACTATGCTGTGTATCACCATAGGCCATACACCGTCACTCATTCGGACCAAGAGTTGAGGTGCAAAAATGGTTGTATGTGGAGGTTAAATGCATGAAAAAGACAGAGTGATGGCAAGTGGAGGATAAGTAAAGTTGTCGAACCCCACATTTGCCTAACAAATAGGGGGAAGGAAAATCATCAACAGCTCACTGCACATTACCTTGCCCGTCGTATATTGGGGCTCGTTGATGACAATAATGACATTTCGGTGTCTTCTTTACAACAGTCCATATCTAGATTCGTTAAGTACGATGTGAAGTACGGAAAGGCTTGGCGTGCTAAGCAAATTGCCCTGGCGATTCGATGGGGTAGTTGGAAGGAAGCGTACAACAAGGTGCCCCGCATCTTATGTGCAATGCATTACTACAACCCTGGCTTGAAATAGTTTGTGGACACAGGAGGGATGTGTTTTCGGGACCGGTGAGGCATGTCCTCTATTGTGTGTTCTAGCCGTTCGCGCAAACGGAACATGCATTCTAGTTTTGTCGGCCAGTCGTACTTGTTGATGGCACTTTCCTAACAGGAAAGTACAGGGGCACCTTGATGATGGCTACTGTTGTTGATCCTGAGGACCAGATAGTACCCATGGCATTTGCTTTGGCAGAGGGAGAGAACAATGAATCGTGGTCATGGTTCATGCGGCTTCTATGTGTACAAGTGCTAGGCCCATCTCGAACTATATGTTTGATCTC